GGGGGAGGAAGCTTCGGAGCCACGGAGGAGAGCACAGCAACAGGGGTGTGGAGGGCAAAGTGGAGAGATTCCTGCACAGAGGATCGGTGCTGACCAGCACTCACCAGCCCGAGAGGCTTGTCTGCTCACCCGCCGGGGCAGGTGGGGGCTGGGAGCTGAGGCTCCGGCTTTGATCAGATCCCAGGGAGAGGACTGGGGTTGGCTGCGTGAACACTGCCTGAAGGGGGCTAGTGCTCCACAGCTAGCCAGGAGGGAGTCCAGGAAAAAGCCTGGACTTGCCTAAGAGGCAAGAGACCATTGTTTTGGGGTGCGCGAGGAGAGGGGATTCAGAGCACCACCAAAACGAGCTCCAGAGACGGGCGCAAGCCGTGTCTATCAGAGCAGACACCAGAGATGGGCATAAAACGCTAAGGCTGCTGCTGCAGCCACCAAGATGCCTGCGTGCAAGCACAGGTCACTATCCACAGCTTCCCTCCCGGGAGCCTGTGCAGCCTGCTACTGCCAGGGTCCTCTGATCCAGGGACAACTTCCCTGGGATAACACACTGCAACGTCACGCCAGCCTCTGCAGCAGCAGACTCGCCCTGCATTCCCCTCCCTCTCCCTGGCCTGAGTGAGCCAGAGCCCCCTAATCAGTGGCACCTTTAACCCCCTCCTGTCTGGGTGGGGAACAGACGCCCTCAGGCAACCTACACACAGAGGCAGGGCCAAATCCAAAGCTGAACCCCAGGAGCTGTGCCAACAAAGAGAAAGCGAAATTTCTCCCAGCAGCCTCAGGAGCAGTGGATTAAATCTCCACAATCAACGTCATGTACCCTGCATCTGTGGAATACCTGAATAAACAACGAATTATCCCAAAATTGAGATGGTGGACTTTGGGAACAACTGTAGACTTGGGGTGTGCTTTCTGCAACTAATTTCTTTCTGGTTTTATGTTTATCTTAGTTTAGTATTTAGAGCTTATTATTACTGGTAGATTTGTTTACTGATTTGATTGCTCTCTTTTTTTAATATATATATATTTTATTTTCCCTTTTTCTCTTTTTGTGAGTGTGTATGTGTATGCTTCTTCATGTGATTTTGTCTGTATAGCTTTCTGCCATTAGTCCTAGGGTTCTGTCTGTCCCTTTTTTTTTGGTATAGTT